ACCAGGTCTAGGGTTCAACCAGTGCTGAGACTGCCCTTCCTTCACTAGAGATTGGGCTTCACTGCTGCAATTGCTCTGGATTCTTCCCCAGCTTATATTTGGCTTGCTCTCTCTACCTCCCCAACCCTGCAGAAAAGGGGCAGGGATATTTGTTTTGTGCAGCCGGGCAAATTAGACTGTGTAGCTCTGTAGAAACAAAGCCATGAAATTACTTCTGTCTTACCTCATCTTCTCCCTCACCTGCTGGGCCACCTACCTGGCTCCTAAATCCTGTTCCCACCACTGACTCTGTGCTAACAACTTCGACTCTTTAAACATTTTTCAAAGTCAAGCTAAAGAAACCAACCTTGAAAGAAAAGACGTGTATTTAGTTTAGTGTTTTGTGGGCCCATAGTCAGGGTTCTGGAAAAGATGTACCTTTTGCCATATTCGGTGTGATGCAAAGCAGCAAGCAGGCATTCAAAAAGAGTAAACAAGGGACCATAGCCACCCTGTGTTAAAAGGACAGCACCCAGCCATGATGTGACTGGCAGGAAGAGTGGCCAGTCAGAGAAGGAGCAGGCTCCTGTGGGCAGGGCAGTTGGAGGACCAGGGTGAGAGGTAGCTTTGGGAGGACAAATTGCCCATATCATGTGTCCTTTCCTGCCCAAGGGAGATTTCAGGGAGCCAGGGAGAAAGCACATGCTCCAGAAAGGCAACTATCTTAGCAAACATTCAGTGAGGCTTCAAGCTCTCCTGGCAAATTCCGTTCTGCAGGCTGGAGGCCTCGATTACAAAACCTTGTTATTTAAAGAGGGAATCCGAGGCTGGGACTGTCAGTCTCACTGTCATAGGCACTTGTGATAAGGGCAAGGTAAAGCCATGACTATTGCTATTCCAGGCACAAACTCCTTTCATTTTTTCTAATTGTTTTTTTTATCCATACACTTATATTTTATTGAATTTGCTAATGTGACAAAGTTTTTACACTGCCAAACCAGGCCTGAGACTCCAAAGAAAGAAACTGTACAGTGAACAGTCTCATCTACCCATCATACAGTATATTAAAATTTGATTCATGTGCATTTTGATAATTTCACAATCTTTTAAAAAATATGCTAAGAGTTAGAAGTATTTTCTTTTTTATTCCATCTTTGTAGACATTTAGTGAGTGAATGGTGCTGTATCCAGTCTAAACATCCTTCCTAGGATTTGTTAGAAACCAGCACACACCCACAGCCATGCCAGCTGTCTGCATGCATTTCCCTTCTTGGCAGCACCATCCTTGGGCAGGGCTGACTTGTGGCCAGGGTGTGCAAACAACAGATCTCTGGGGCTTCTAAAGGCCCAGGGTGGGCACCTTGGTAGACGGAAGGATCACTTTGCTGGCGGTGCTGCTTCTAGTACCCTATGCCTTCTCCCAAAAAGCACCATTTGCCCAGGAGCTAAAACAACAGAATGAAGTAAGCCTGCTCTGTTCACAGGGGGCCTTGCAATGGTTGGAAGGAATAGATTGAGCAAAGTGAGTGTGTAGAAAATTAAAAACCCAACAAGCAAAAACCCAGGCTGAGGCTCACTTACAGAGGGACTTAAAAGGAGCTCAAGATGGACCCATAGCCACACCTACTGTCTCTTACTTATTGCTCTGCACACTCATTTAAACAAGTCCACATTCAGATTTAAGTCCTCAACTAAGTTCTCTCACATCCAAGTACTCTCTCATGTGGAGTTAGAGAATTTGTCTTACTGTGGACAGTTTCAAAGTGCTGTTAGAACATCCCTCCTTTGACTTTGTCCACACCCTCACCACCAGTGGAACCCCACTGCTAGAGGTAGAGGCAGGATCAAAATAGAAGATTGTGTTCCCCTTTTTAGTAACAAGCAACATATAGAATCATGGAACTCCTCCATTACATAAAGCAGTCCCTCAGTGTGTGTGTGTGTGTGTGTGTGTGTGTGTGTGTGTGTGTGGGATTAGTTCCAGGACCCCAGCAGATAGATGCTTAAGTTCCTTATATAGCATGGTATAGTATTTGCATGTCACCTATGCACATCCTCCTACATACTTTAAATTATCTCTAAATGACTTGTTACACCAAATAAAATGTAAATATAAACAGTTGCAGAATGATAAGAAAAATGCTTGTTTAGTACAGATGTAATTTTTTAAAAAGTTCTTTTGATATCCGAGATTCAAATCTGCAGATGCACACCCTGTGGTTCTGCATGGGCTATACTTTCTCTACCTGGCTTCTAAGACACCACATGCCCAGGCACTCATAGGCACGAACCGCATTGCTTGCTCCTGCTCCGACTCCCTCTCTGGGTTTCCTCTTCCTCCTGACCTCTGAGGTGGGAGTACACAGTTCCTTCTCTATGTCATCTCTCTCCCTGTTCCTAATCTCATTTTGTTACACAGCTTTAAATACTGATACTCCAATTCACAGTTCTTGACTGGCCTAGTCTGTTGACCTCAAAACTTGCCCAGCCAACTGCCACTTATCACCTCATCTTATGGGCTTCATGGCACCTCAAACTTAGTGTGTCCAATAGAACTCGACCTCTGTCTCCCTGCCTTCTCCATCATAGTCTGTAGCAGGTCTGGCCCCTCCAAGATCCAACCTTAGAGTCATCCTGAACCCACTCATTCTTTCACCACTACCTCCAAACCACAAGTGAATCCTTTTGCATTCTTCATTAAATCATGAATCAGGTCATTTTCCCTGTGCTGTATAATGAGCCCAGATGACTATCATATTTAAATTAAAATTAATTACAAATTGAAAAGCTAAAGAGAGAAAAAGAGGAATGTTCCCAGTTCCTTATTTACACTGGTTAGATTTCAAGGGCTTCACAGCAAGAGTCAACACAGAGCCTCCCCATTGCTACAGGATGTCAGTTAGCCAGTGTTTTCAGAGCACTTAGCCTAGTCTATATTGCCAAAGTCTCCTGTGTGGTGACTCTAACAGCCTTGTAGCTGATCTTGCTTCTTCAGTCTCCATATCATGGCAGACAGAGCGATCCTTTTAAAATGTCTCAGGTCATGCTACTCCTGTGTTCAAAAACATCCATCCAGAGTCCCTGTGTTTCTCAGAACAGAAGGTCCCACAATCTCTGGTCCCCTTACTCATCCAGCTCATCTGATCAGTCTTTTCACATGTTTTCTCTGCTACAGCCACAACTGGCCCCTGTCCCTGCCTCAGGCTTTGTCACTGACTTCTCCCTTGGTAGGAGTGCTCTTCCCCAGGTATGTTCCTGGTTCACCCTTCTCCTTCAGCTCTGCTCCAGGTCTCTTTCTGACTGAGGCTTGACTGCTGTACTGAATTTTAACCTGCCCCCCTGCACTCCTGTTTCCCTTCACTCTGCTCTGCTGTCTTTTCCATAGCACATACTTCCTTTGAATAAACTGTATGACTTATTTGTTTATTATGCTTACTGTCTACTATCTGGCAGGCATCTTTGCTACTTACTCATCTCTGGAAAGTGGGCCCAGGAGGCCTTCAGAAAATATTTGCTCAATAATGAATGGATAGACTCTTAGAGCTGAGAGAGGTCCCCAAAACCACTCTTGTACTGGCAAATGAATTGATAAGTTGAGATAATTCACTCTGGACCCATGGTAATCTCAAAGGAAGAGCTTGGATGACAAGCTTTACTGGTCTTAGACCACTTCACCTAGGCAAGACCACATGAACGAATTTCCCTTTCCTCTGTCTATCACAACTGGAAGGACACTGGTGAACCACAAAGAGCCCATGGGACAACTAACTAAAATACCAGGGCTATTTGCTACTTTCTTCTTGACAAATGCTGTGGTTCAAATATTGTTTGCCCCCAATGAAACTTAAATTAGGATTTGGTATCAATGTAATGATACTGAGTGGTGACAGGGACTTTAAGAAGCATTTGGGGTCATGACAGATCTGCCCTCAGGAATGTATTAATGTAGTTCTCCAGGGAATGGATGATTCTCATGAGAGTAGATTATCATAAAATGGCCAACTCCTTCCTGCCACTTACTTGTGCATGTGTCTGCTTCCCTTCTGATTCTTCCATGTGGCCTTACCAGAAGCATGCCAGTGGCCTGCTTTTGAAATTCAGAACTATAAGCTAAGAGGGCTCCTTTTCTTTATAAATTACTCACTCTCAGGTATTATGTTATAGCAACAAGAAACAGTAACATAGAAAATGTTTGTGTGTTTCAACCATCAGTCTTGCTTCTCTGATGACTTGTAAGAACCAAGGGAAACAGTGTGGATTCAGATAAATGGGCTGTTCTCATATGCCAGTTTAACCCTTTACTCCCCCACATTACAAATGCCAAGAGCTTCCAAAAATTAGAAACACAGTTTCTAGATTGTCTTCCTCTAAAGTGATATATCAGTGTTGTTTTAAAAAAGAAAAGCATGATTTCATCACATAATTCCTAAATTAGTGTTTGAGAAAAAGTTGATTAGTAGACAAGAACGATTCTCTATTGTATCATTAAAATATTTCTTCTAATCCAGAATGGATTAGAAGAAAAGCAAACCCAACATCATATTTGTCTTATGGGTTCATCTGGCCTCTTATGTCTGTAAGGAAGTGCCACGTGAATATACATATTTTTAAGTGCTGAGGGATGACAATTTTTCTACTGCCAATGCTGATTCAAAAAGAAAGCCAATAAGGAAACTTGAACTTCACAGACAGACTTGTTCATAATGACACAGAAACAGATCCAGAGCTATACAGCATGATGCTAGCAAAAAGCCTGGAAAACCTCATCCATGGCTTATTGGATAATTCAACTTGCCAAAGTATGTAATTAAGAAAAGGTTATCTTTATAGTGATTCCTTCATTATTGAGCTAACTCAATTGGAAGCTGTTTTAGAGATGCCAGATCTAGAAATAAAATCCTTATAGACTGCACTGTAATGTTGTGAAGATTGTAGCAGGAAACAAATTGATGCACACAGACAATCTTCTGTATGTACCAGACAATTAGATCTCAGGGGAGACATGGAGCTAAAATGTAAAATCAAGGTGGCCAGGGACTGAGCACAGAAAAGGCGCAGTCAGCAGCTTCCCAGAAAGAGGAGCCCACACGTCCAGAGTGCTCACGCGTGTTACCTGGGGTGGTGCTCTTCATTGCATTCACTAACTTTCCCCTTCCGGCTCCAAAACCATTATTTTCCTAGACCAGGTCACTGTCACTATCACTGCTGCAGCTGGCAGAGTATGTACACACTCCGGGTACCTTGTTCTAAACGAGTCATATGAGACTGTTAAGACCATTCACACAAATCAAAATGTGTAGAAAAACCATGAGTATGTGAGACAGTTCACATTTGGCTGCCTTTTTGTGTACAATTCCATTGCCACACTTCACCCAATGGCAAGTCTGGTTTGCGGGTTAGTCGTCTCCTGCAGAGCTATTCAATTTCTAGGGCTGCAGAAACAGGCCTGCAACAATGCAGCTGTGGAAGGCACTCTGTCACTGTCCCAGGCTCAGGCGGGTTCCCACAGTTGCCCATTCTGCATTTTGTACACCTCTTTGTAGGGGCTTTTCTTTTTTATTTTCAAGTACCTGTTAGGAGCTGTTATTCTGAGCCTACTGGCTTATTTACTTTACCAATCCCATCACTGGCATTCAAGTATTAGAGAATATTAAAAGACGAACCTTGGGAACAGCAGAATAAATAATTTGCCTAATTTATAACTTTATTCCAGCCTCTCAAAGGAAGGTAGTCTTGGGAAAGTAAGAAAATCTCCCAATCTATGAGTAGCTCATGGGTGGAGGGACCCAGTCTCCCCTTTTGCTCACAGACCCATGTAGCATGGCCCCAAAGAATGTCACTGGTGTGTAATAATGCCATGTTTAGCAATTGTTGAGGAGACTGATATTGTGTAATATTTCGCTCTGGAAACATAAGTAGAATACTGATCCAGGACTGTAACTCCTGTGGGTTTAGGCAGGAGTATGTGGGATACTCTTTTTATGTTTGTAGACTGCCCCATTAGAGCCTACTTTTTTCTACCTATCCTAGACACTTCAGGTACAGATGCATGGGATGGGTCCCCAAAGTTTTTTGGGAGGGTGTCATCTTGTTGGGAATTACCAAAACACATTTTAGGATGTAAGTTCTTTCAGCTAGTGTTACAATCTTAAGAAGGCATTCCTTCATTTACTTACTCATTCACCTACTCATTTAATAGGTGTTTATTGAGTACCTCTTCCATGCCAAGCAGTGTATTAGACTTTAGGGGGACAGAGCTCAGCATTGGAGATACCAGTCCTCTAGTAGGGACCGTATCTGTGATGGATGACAAGTCTCCCACCCTTCTCACCACCAGGTATCACACCAGAGTGTGCAGTGGGCCAGTCCCAGGATGAGTTAAGAAATAGTGGAGAGACTGAACATGGTCAATGCAACTAGCTGGAAAGGGAAACATGAAGGGATACCAAGTAAGTCCCAAGGGCTGAACAGAGCCCCTGAGCCATGAGCTTCTCTCTAGATCCAATCACATGTCAGGAGGGTGGGTATGTTATCCCAGGGTGGATGAACAACATACAGAAAAAATGATGGCATTAAAGAAACTCAGGTCTCCTTGACCAGGGCAAATCATTTGACCACTCCAAGCCTCAATTTACTTATCCCTAAAAGGAGTAAAATTACACCTGCTTTCTGTGTGTCATGGAAACGAGGTAAAGGCTAAAGCAACTGCTGAGAAAATGAAAAGAGGAAAAGCATTCCAAGTGATGCCATGTGGCTTGGGAGAGTGAATGATTGCTTCACAATGTTGATTCAGGGAATGTCTGTACTCCAGGAATCTGGATGCAGATGAGGAGCACTTTGAATTCCGCAGAATAAAGATGTCCCAAGAACCCATGATATCCCTTAATAATAATCCAGGGAAAAGGTTGAGCCTAGGATCTTGGTTTGTACTCAATACACCAATGCAAAACTTGACTTAAAATTAAATCGGTCACTAACGGGTTTAAGGAGTTCACTTTTCACAATTAAGATAAACCAGTGGACCACGCCCTTCTATCTGCCTCCCCCTCACCTGGGTCTCAGCAGTGCCATCCTCACCCCCCCGGTCTGGGAGGGGCTCCCTTGCCATGGTGTCTTCAGCATATTCAAATGATGAGCAATTCTGAGGCCTTGGCTCTGCTTCACTCCCCTTTTGGAAACTGGTTTTTCCTTAATGAAGAAATCATAAACAAGCTTTCACCAAATGTTTATAAGTTTAGGGAAGGAGAGACAGAGACATACAAAAATAACAGAAAGGTATGAAAACAGTGAAAGTTGGATCTGTCTTTTTGACCCCTGCAAGTGTGTACTACCCTGGATATCTGTAACCTATAGAGGATATATGGTGGATGTCCACCTTGGAGAGCCTGGCAAATTGACCTGGAACCCAATGTTTTTAAAAAAAAAAAAAGGTTGGAACTTTTCAAGTTAGAAAGGGTTTAGCAGGCAAACCATTTGGAAAGCACTGACACTACCCCTCAAATAATGTTATTCATCAAATAACAGATTTTTCTTTTTTGTGGTATGGGGGGGTTTGAACTCAGGGCCTCATGCTTGCTAGGCAGGCATTCTACCACTTGAACTACCCTGCCAGCCCTTTATGCATTGATAATTTTTGAGATAGGGTTTTGCTTTAGGCCCAGACCAGCCTGGATCATGATCCTCCTATTTGGGCTTCCCCATGTAGTTGAGATGGCAGGTGTGCCCCACTGTGACCACCCATTAGTTAAGATGGGGTCTTGAGAACTTTTGTACAGGCTGGCCTGAAACTGTGCTAATGGGCATTCCCATAATTTCCAAAGGAAGGATTATAATTTGCAGCATTTCCCAAACATAATTGAGCAGGGAACCCTTATTTTCTTAGAATACATATTAAGGTCATTTTGAATAATGGGATCTGGGAAACTTTGCTCAAGGCTCTTAAAAGATCATTCAAGACTGTACTTTACAAGCTTCAGAGTTTAATGTGCACACGCATTAGTTGAGCTTTTGTGAAATTGCAGATACTGATTCGGTGGGAGTGGGTGGGCTCTGAGCACTGCTGTTCTAACCAGCTCCAGGTGATGCTGGCCCATGGACCACACTTTGAGTATCAAGGGTGAAATTAGCAGAGGACATTAAAGAAAGTTCCTCCTTTACCCATAAAATAGCAGATTAACCTGCAGAGTGTGTGCCTTCATCCCACCAGAAGGGAGGATCTCTGTTATGATCCTCCCATATCAAAAATTACCAACGAGACATGCTGTAGCAGCCTCTCCACAGCAGTTTTTCTTGTGCGCAGAAGCAGAGTAATTGTGTTTTCATCAGCTAAGACTGGTACAGATGCTCCCAGGTTTGATATGGAGATAAGAGAAAAATCAATTCATTTGTACACACTGAACAGGAAGTGATTGCTCTGAAAGAAACAGGTATACCTTGTTTCCTTTTGTTCCAGCTAGTTCTCCACTCCTAATTTTTCATTAAATAGCAAATGGTCACTGAGAAAAGTGAAGCATTGGAAAACTGGCCCTGTCTCTGGATGACAGATGTCACACAGTGGACAGAAACTCCAGGGTGGATGACTCAAAAATGTCCGGCCCTGTGTTCACCTTGCTCTTCATATACTACTTTTTTACAACTCGCATGACAATTTAATTAAGACACAATCCTTAAAAACCTGCTGCAATGAATATTAGCACAAGATCAGAACAATCTCCCGCCTTATCCCCTTCTTATGAAGCAATTCAAGGCTTGTGGTTTCTATTCAATTTGTTATAATGACAGTGTTTAATCATGGACTCTACTCGGCAGCCCACTGCTGAATTGAGGTCACACATGTGACTATTCAGGCATAGAACACATAATCTATAACTAAGATTTTGCCCCTGAGCCTCTGGAGGCTGTATCATTAATTAACAATGTACTTATTTCAAAAATAATATGCATTACAGCCTTTAAAAATGTAACCTTGGTTGGGAATGAGCAGAAGTTTGCAATGAAACATTTGTGAGAGTTGTTATTATCAAAAAAAGGAAGAAGTCAGCCATAGGACTAGCTCTATCCATTCATTCGAGGATGTTTAATTAAGTCTTCTTTTCTAATTTTTCAGAAACCTATAGTATAATCTCCACTTGTGGCTTCTTTCTAATCATCCAACCATAAAATGAATGTGGGGAGAGGGTATAGGAGGGTGAATATGATGCAAATTCTGTGTACACATGTATGCAAATGGAAATATGAGACCAGTTGAAACTATTCCAGGAATGGGGGAAAGGGGAATGATGGAGGGGATGAATTCAAGTGGGATATACTGTAAGAACTTTTCTAAATGTCACAATGTACCCCAAGCACAACAATAAGAGGTAATAAAAAAAGAAAGTGTTCGATTCAGAGTTCTAGTTCATATGCTTATGCATGTTGCCAGAGCAACTGAAGCCATCCACGCTAAAAATTATTTAATGTCTTCCGGGCCTGCAATAAATATTTTTAATCTTGAGGAAACAATGAGAAAACTTTGGCCCTTAGCCCAGTCCTCTCTTTAATCATGAAAGCTTGTTTCCATTGACTGCAACGAAAGATGACACTTGACAATGGGAAGGCAGTTGCCGTCCGCTGCCATTAACGCAGTCTGCTGCTGATGTATCTAGCAGAGTCTTTTATAGTTCAACATAAAAATATACATGAACAGGACAGGAATATGTCAAAAGACATATGGCTTCTGCTTAGTGGGCAAGCAAATATTTCAGCTACGTTTATATCTACGGCTTAAGTTGGTCTATATTCAGAGTTAAGTTTTATAGGATAAAAATCCCATGAATGTATGTAGTACTTTTTTTCTGCATCAATTTACATAGCCATATGCTGGTGCTTACATATTTGTTTCCTTTTATGTGCATACTCTTTAGCATGGAATAGTCTGAATCAATAATGGCTTATATATAGTTTTACTTTTTGGTAGAGGATGTGCAGGGATTTTTCTTACATCCACATTTCCATAGGGCAGAGGTCATGGATGGACTTGTTTCCCGCTGGGAGGTTTTCCACTGTTATCAGCAAGTGCATTACTATGGTTGGGAAGAATCTCATTTGGAAGGCAACTGGCATTTTACCTGAGGAAGCTGGTTTGGGAAGTCGACTTTGAGGAGGTCGCAGCCCTCTGGCCATCATGATGGTGTCAGATGTAGACTGAACAATGGTGGTCTCTGTAGAGCACTGGCTATCTGTGGAGCAAGGCACTTCTCGTTCAAGGGTTTGGGCTCTGACAGAAGAAGCTATGGAAGGGGCTGGCTGGAGAGACAGGAGGGGCTCAGTGTCCTCTGGAGGCTCTGGCTGGCATATGTATCGTCCTGTTGAGCGATTTCCCGAGTCTGGGAGTGGGAAGGTTCCAATCCCACTGTCTAGTGTTCTCATCTGGCAGTTTGATTCTGAGACACACACACACACACCAAAAAAAAAAAAAAAGAAAAAAAGAAAAAAAACAGGATTAGAGAAGGGTCACAGAAAAGGAAAAAAAAAATCAGTATTTGGGTATAATCTGGGGCAAAGGGATACATAGGGAAGAAAGAAAAAGATATACATTTGGAAATAGTGTAGTAAGTTTCCACTGAAGTGCATGAAACAGACCTTTAATTGAACATGAAATTATCCCCTTCACATAATGAGGTAAGAAGGTCAGCCCATCACAGGCAGCAAGAGTCACATGCGTATAGATGCTAGAGTTATTACAGAAAAAGAACAGTCATTAGAGACCAACAATTATTTCTGATTATCCTTATTTCAATCTGGGACGCATGTGACTTCAATTAGGTGAAATTTATTAACTGAAATAAAATTCATAATGAGCACACATAACAAATTAGAGTGATGTCCTAACAAAGGTAATTGTGCATCTCTTACACGAATTATCACCCACTCAGCAGATGACGCAAGCCATGGGCTCTAAATGTGACTGAGGACAGTTATTGCAAAGGATACCTTACGTACCATAACATCACTTATCATGTGGGCCGAATTTGACCCACCTGCTACTTGAAGTCTTTCTGCAAAGATGATGGGGCCACTCTTTCTCTTTCATTCTCACTCTGTGCAATGACAAAACTCATCAACACCCTTTGGATTTCTCATCACTTCCAGGGGTCTCAGTATTCTCTAGAAAAAATTAAGCTGATTTCACCATGTATGTGACATATTCTATTAATTATGTCTCATCTTCAGAAAATTTTATAAAGGTTCTGAAAAAAGTATTTCTTATTTAATTTCTAAAGTGGATGTGTGGTTTATCCAAGATAATGTGACAGCCTCCAAGATCTGGTTGTCATCCAGAAAGTCTCCATTCATATATAAAATCTTGGAATGAAACTTTCTTAGTTTCATCTTATAAGCACCTTATAAATCTAGTGCCAGGTAAGAGGTACAACTCAACATTGTGTAAGACAGGATGAGGGATATAACAGATTATGCATAATCTTTAAGTCAAAAGATCAACAGCTACCACTCCTTTGGTGTTTTATGGAACAGTGGCCTGTGATGTGGTCTCACCCAACAACTGATAGTGTGAGTCCCTGTGCAAGAGCTTAATCGCTTAGAATCTCAGGTTCCTTATAGGGTTGCTGTGAGTATTAAAATATGATCACCACCAAATCCCTAGAATTTATAATAATACTTAGCACACTGTGCATTCTATGCCTTGGAGAGTACTGGGATTAAGGCCCAGTGAAGGGCACAGTATTTAAATAGTGAAGGGAACAGTATTCAACTCCACGACTCGATTCCACAATGCATCTTTATTTATTTTTTTGGTACTAGGGCTTGAACCCAGGCTTCAAGTGAAAAGACAGAATACAGAACAGGAGAAAAATCTTTTTCAGCTATTCATCTGTCACAGATTAATATATAAATAATATATATGATATATAAAATTATAATTAATAATATATAAAGAGCTCAAAAATTAAACACCAAAAGAGCAAAAAATCCAATCAAATGATCTGAACACACACTTTTCAAATGAAGAAATTCAAATGGCCAGTAAGTACATGAAAAACTATTCAATACATTCAGCCATCAGTGAAATACAAATGAAATCTATGTTGAGATTCCATCTCGCTCCAGTCAGAATGACTATCATCTAGAAAACAAATAGAAGAAATGCTGGTAAGAATGCAGGCTGTGAGGAGGAACCTTCATATACTGTTGGTGGGAATGCAAATTAGTGCATTCAATACTGAAATCATTATGGAAGTTTCTCAAAAAACTAAAAATAGAACTATAATATGAGCCAGCGATACCACTCCTGACATATACAAAGGAATAGAAGTCAACATACACTAGAGACATCTGCACACCCATGTTTATTGTAACACTATTCACAATAGCCAAGTCATGGAATCAGCCTAGGTACCCATCAATGGATGAATGGATAAAGAAAATGTAGTATATATACAAAATGGAGTTTTATTCAGGCATAAAGAAGAATGAAATTTTTCAGGAAAGTAGATGGAACAGGAAATCATCACATTAAGTGAAATAAGCTAATCTTACAAAGACTAGTATTGAACATTTTCTCTTATATGGGAAATGAAAGTAAAAGGGTGACTACTAGGGATGTGGAAGGGGCAAAGGAGAAGAAATGTTATAAGGTGATAGAGGGGTAAAAATCATCAAAGTACATTACACGCATGTGTGGAAATACCATAATGAAATCCATTACTTTGTACAGTTAATATATACTAATAAAAAAAGTGAAGAGATATTCAGCTTTCTTTTTAGTGATCTGGTGATAGGTCCCACTCCCTAAGCCCACATACATGTTTGCCTAGCTTCAAACACCAGCCCATGGCAATTGTAGGAAACTGCACAGAAGAGAGATTTGGGGTAGAAAAATGGTGAAGAAAATCTAAGTCTGGTGCCCTTCTGAGGACACCAACATTTTCTGGCATCTGTCCCTTTACTTTTCTTTCCCTTCAGCACAACATTGTGTGCTAAAAGAAAAGAATCCTGAGCTCTCCAATGCCGTGTGCATTGTGTGAACTGACATTAAGCTCGGAAATAACCTGCTATTAAGGCTATTTTTTATTTCTAAAAATTCCAGATGCCAAATATAGAGAATGTGAAGGTCTCATTTGTAAGTAGCTATGAAATGAGGTGTGGACAGTCAGGGACTCTGACATATTCCAAGTTTCACCCTCAAGCAAATTTCTTTAGAATACTTATATCTTGAGAAACTAGAGTTTATATTGAAAACACTGACACTGACTTTATGTAGTTTCGTCAAAGCACTATTGGTTTCTTACAGAAAAAGTGTTGGATACTGTACTTCTGAAGCCGTTTTTTTTTTTTTTTTCTCAGAGACTTATAAGAACTCACAAAATAATTTGTAGTAAGAACAAAGTTCACAGGGCAAAGCCTGGCTTGCATCTTCAATGAGTTGACTGGGTCTTGCCCTCCACAAGTGTTGAGTTCGCATTTATGGCTGTGAATGAAGCTGCCAACAGGGCTTTGCTAATGAGTTCAAAGATTGGGTTGCTCCATGTGTCAGTGAGCTTCATTCTTCCAAGGTCACCAATTACATCTCTGACCTCGGCCAGCCTTTCACCTACTCCCATTGCCCCATTTGCCTTCTATCAGTCTCTCAAGATAAGTTCTCACACTTGTCTCTGCCAATAATATCCAGATATATTATGGGAAGACTTAGGGCACCACATCCCAGTCATTTTAAGTTGCAGATCATATAGAAAACAGATGACTCACAGAGGAAAACAGCCCCAGGACTACTGGTCATTTGAGAGCTTTCCATCTCAATACACCTGGGAACCGTTCAGGGCACAGCAGCAGAATGACGAGGAATCTTTGAGAGTGGGCCTGAGCCCACTGCTTTACTTATACCCTGAATGCATCACTTTGCAAATGTATGCATCAAGGAGATAGGTTCCTTTTCAGTCTCTCAGCAGTAGATACAGGACTTTCTGGGATGCCCTCCTTTTGGGGAAGAATATCAAAATGGCTCAGATTAGGAATCTTTATCTGGCATCAGGATTCAGTCACTGGGAAAAGTGACCTGTTCTGAGAGGGCACTGAACAGCTTAGGCACAAGCAATCAGACGAGGTTCTGTGTGGGATGGTGGCAGAGAAGGAATTTTGGAGAAACGAACCACTGAAGATTTTTAAACTATTAATTTAGGGTGTGTGATATGAAATCCCCACTCATCCTTCTGAGTGTTACCCTGCTGCTCCCTTGGCAGCTGGCCATAGTAACATCATCTGAATATTAGATGCCATTAGCTCCATCACAGGGGATCTTGAGAGACTAGAAACACATCACGTGATTAACCTGGCACAATTCTTACAATGGGTGCATGAACAGGTGTTCTCAAAAGAAGAATCAGACTCTTAAATGTCTTGGGGCAGATCTGGAGTTTATTCAACTCCTCCCTATCTTCATAAAACTCTGTTCCTGACATGATCATGGCCCTTATTCTACAGTATGATCATTACAGGTACTAGGCTAATGGGGTGCCTGATTCATGCCCCATCACCAGCACTCAGCACACCGTGCCCAGCACATAGTCAGCCCTCACTGGTGTGTGACAAATGAATGGGTGGATGAAAAAACAACTTCACATTGTTCCTTCTCTTCACTGAAGGTAAATTCTTTCCTGTGAAATCTCAATGTGGCTCTTCCTGTTCTGATTCCAGCAACCAAACAGTTGACTTCCTTCTTCTAAGCAGCTGTTTTTTCACATTCAGTCAGACTTCATTAATTCAGATGGCCAGAGGGATAAGACTTTGCAGAATTATTGAATATTTCCAAGACTGATTTCTTGGTACTTTCAAGTCCTTAGGAAAAAAACGGGTGACCAAGACAAAAGACAGCCAATGGAATGCTATTTTAGCCTCTTCCTCAAACCCTGCATCCACTTCACACATGACTGGGCCTGAAGTCCCAGATCCAGTGAAAGCCATGTGTCACCATTACTGTGCCCCCATCCTGAGATACTGTAAATGCCATGCTGAATTCTGGCATCCTGTTTAACACCAGCACCCTCACTAGTGTGAAAACTAAGTTTTTACAGACTAGAGTTCCCGGGGCCTTTGTGGTGAGATGAGATGATTCAGTAGCTTCCTGTATTCATTTACATAGAATAGTGAGTTGTTTCCTTTTAAAATGAATTGTTCTCTTAACTGACTTGACCAAGTTTCTTCCAAACCTGTTCTGTTATATAACCATCTACACAGAAACACTGTGTTTATAAACAGCTGAGAAGGGAAAAGTTGATTTCTGACATTGTTTCTGCTAATATAAATTTCCAAGTGAGTGGAACCTGAATTTGCCATAATTTGAGGTCCTCCGGAAATGTCATTCATTTGTTCTTCAGCTTTGTCTTCTACAGGTTCAAGTGTCTCAATTTCTTCTCACAGATACTAC